GTATTGAAAATTAAGAGGTGGTGCAATCCAGCATTTACAGAAAAGCTGTAGGACCTACAAGCCACCTAACTTTTGTTTACTCTGGCAATATGTGGGGAAACCTTGATTCCAGCCCTTCTCCCCCCCCCCCACCCCATGCCCTGGGTGGGTGGGTGGGGGCAGCCTGTGTTCCTGCGATGTGGGGATGGATTCCAGGCACCTGGTGGATTTTTTCCTGAATGATAATGCAGCTTGTTGAATTAACTCTTGTTTTTTTTTTTAAAGTCAAGGTTTTATTTTACTGTATAAAATACAAAGAAGAGAAGAAAAAATGGGACATTAAGGGAAGGAAAGGGAGAGTGTGTTGAATTAACTGTCTTAAATTTAGAAGACTTGCTTATTAAAACTTATAAGTATTGAGTTTTAGATTAAATCTCCCCCCCCCCCCCATTTTTTCCGACACAAGAACAAGATGGATGACTGGCAGACAACCTCCAACTTTACAACTGTGTGTTATGAAGGACCTCAGCCTGTCCGTTCCTCAGAATTGGAAAGGAGAGTGAGAGGCACCAGGAAAAGCTGACTTCCAGCTGAGGAGGTGGTTTCCAGGCAGAAAAACCCTGCCTAGAAACGGAGTTGGTCGCCCAGGCACGCACCCCTTCTTTGCTCTTTCTCGGGGGGGGGGGGGCTCTTCCCCTGCCTGGAGGGGTCTCCAAAAGATGGACCTGAGTCTTCGCCACTCAGTCGGATTCCTGCCCTTATGGGTTTTTAAAATAAAAATAGGCTCGTCTGCCACTGAAGATTACCTGCCAAGCTATCCTCTTGGTCACCTCTGGAGCTGGAAGAGGCTGCTGTTGCATGCAGTTGCACTTGGCAGCTGTGGCATTTTCAAAGTCCAAGGACCAAGGTATAAGAGGCTGGGGGGCAGAAGGGGGGGCAGAGAACCCACCAGGCTTATGCCCATTTGCGTCATTCATTCTGACCCTAATAACCTATTTACACCACTTGCAGGAGCTTTGGTTTTCACTCTTGGAATTTCACCGCAGTTGCTGGCTAACTTAGACATTTGACTCCTGGACCCCCAAAAAACGTTCAAAGAAGTGACACCAGAAGAATTATATAATCAATGAAGAATTTATCAACAAAAGAGTTTTAAGATTTCTCCAGCCGTAAGCCAAAGTAACCCTGAAAGAAGGGTTGCCTTTCATGGGGAGAATCCCACAGCCTATCTTTTGAAATGCTCTCTATGGCCTGGAAAAGATTTATCCGAAGGAAATTAGAGCTGCTCTGCCAGTGGGCTCAGGGCGGACTTCAACTCCCAGAGTTCCCTGGCCATCCCCGAGACTTGGAAGTTCCCATCTTCAGGCCAAAGAGGGGGAGCCCCTCGTGCTCTGCTTAGGAAAAAGCTACCTGTCCCTTGGAGGGGGGGAGCTTTTCCAAGGAAAGCTTTGGGGTTGCTGCAGGCCCTATCCCCCCCCCCCCCCCCCTTTTTTTTTTAAGAAGCTCTGGTTTCCATTTTGCTTTGCTTTAAAAAGGTATATTAGAGCCGTGAGGGTCACGGAGCTGCATCCATCAAGAGCCTCCATTCTCTGCCCTGTTCTTTGGCTTGGGGTATCTATCCAAAGGCCACAAAGTCCATGTGTCCCAGCCTTGGGTCTCCTTTCCGGTGCTTCATCCCCACTGCGATGAGGCAAAAGGGAGTCCACCCTTGACAGGACTTTGGGCCGCCTTTGAGTGACCGCTGGGACTTCATGGATGAGTGACCCACCTGGGGAGGGGGGGTCTCTGCAGGCAAAAAATGGCCCTCGGCCTGGTCCCTGCAATGCTGAGCTCCCCCCATCCCCAAGCATGCCCTATTTATGGGGCATGTTGAGGGCATCCAGTCAACCAGAATGACTGGTTCACACCAGGCTCACAAGGGAAATAAAAATGATCTTCACCGGATAATAGCTTTCCACGCAGCTCATAGGCTCTCACTATGAATTAGAGCAGAGGTTTCCAAACTTGGCAACTTTTAAGACTAGTGGACTTCAACTCCCAGAATTCTCCAACCGGCATAACTGGCTGGAGAATTCTGGGAGTTGAAGTCCACAAGTTTCCAAGTTTGGGGACCCCTGAATTAGAGTGTGAAACAAACTTGGTTGTTCTATTTCAGTAAGAAGATCCACAATTCACTATTCCCCCCTCGAAATTAGACTTTCGATGAACAGCTGCTGTGTGGAAAGGGAGCAAATGCAGGTTGCCCTCATCTAAACAAATCAATCAGTTGAACAACTTGCCTCCAGAAACTGATAAATGCTCCAACACTGGAAGTTTTCAAGGAGAGATTGGACAGCCACTTGTCTGAAATGGTATAGGGGTTCCTGCCTGAGCAGGGGGTTGGACTAGAAGACCTCCAAGGTCCCTTCCATCTCTGTTATTCTGTTATTGTAACCGGAATATTCACGGTTTAAAGGCTAGAACCCCACAGCAGAACCAGGGTAGCAGAGAAAAAAGACCGATAAGGCATTGCTGGTGAGAGGGAGGGAGGGAGAGAGAGAGAGAGAGGGAGGGAGAGGTGGGGGAAGCTGAGGGGATCCTCAGCTCCAGAGAAAAACCATCAGGAGGTGAGAGGTTCCGGCCAGCTTTCCAAGAAATTTAATCCGTCATGCAAACAGCCTGGGAAAAAGAAGAGTCAAAGCAGACCCCGGCCCCACAAACTCCAACAGAGCCCTGGAGCCCCCCACCCCGACCCCCACCCCGGCAGTCCTCAAAAGTCCTTCATTCACAGCATGAGAGAAAATCCAGGGTGAATTTTGCTTTCCTGGCCGTGGTTCTTGGCAACTTTGCAGAGAAGAGTTCTCGGAAAGGGAGTCAGAGATCCACGTTGCTGAGCAGCAGCTTTTCTGCTCCCCCAGCCAGAAAAGAGGGAGAAGCCCCCAAACGTCCCCTCGGCAGAGGGCCAGAGACCGCCTGCTGGCTTCCGTCCGCCTCGAGGCCCGTGGCCTTCTCCAGCGCCTCCCACAGCCTCCGGCCCAGGTCTGGGTCTTGCGCCAGGGCTTGAGGCAGCACCAGAGTGCAGTTGCTGTCAAAATACTTGCCCGAAATCCCCTCCGCTTCTGGGGAGACGGCGCAGTAGAGCGTGCTGGTGGCTCCCTTTTGGGGGCTCTGGGGAGAGAGCAGGGAGAGCCGCTCAGAGCAAGCTTTGTGGGGGGAAGGGGAGGCAGAGAAAGGGGCCCAGCTGCCAAAAGTCTTCCTGAGGAGCGAAGGTCCGTCCTCGGGACAGGGGTGGCCTTCAAAAACTTTAGCAATGGGTTCTCTGCCCGGTTGCTGGGTGGGCGTGGCCATGGTGAGCGTGGCCTAGTCGGCCTCCTGCACCACAGCTGGGGCATTTTTGCCCTCCCTGGGCTCCAGAGGCTCTCTGGAAGCTGGAAACGGGCCCATTTCCGGCCTTCCCGAAAGCCATCACTCTGCTAAACAAATAATTCCCTCAACACTGTCCAACTATTACAAAGTCTGCACTACTATTACTGTTAATCTTCTCATCACTCCTTATCACTCATCCACTCCCACTTGTGATTGTAGGACTGTAACTTTGTCGCTTGTATCCTAACGATTTATATGGACTGTTTGCTAGTACCGTGTTTCTCATATAATAAGGCTAGGTCTTATGTTTTTTTGAGCCCCCCAAAAATGGCTAGGCCGTCTTTTCGGGGGTGACTTAATTCCCCCCCTTTGCATCTTCGGGCGGGCGGGCAGCGATGGTTTGGATGTTGACCTCGGCATTGGTGGGGCACTTCATACTGGGGTCAATGCAGGCAGCACCATATCCGGGTGTGCAACAAAAGTACTTCCTACTTCCATTTCGCATGGTTTAATATAGGCCTTAATTTGGGGGGAGGGGCTTAATTTCATTTCATGCCTATAAAACATGCTGGGACTTCCTATTGGGGGAGGCCGTATTGTTGGAGAAACAGGGTATTTGATTGCTTATTGTACCCTATGATTATTATTGTTGTACGTGATGATTCTTGACTCTGGACAAATGTATCTTTTCTTTTATGTACACTGAGAGCATTTACACCAAAACAAATTCCTTGTGTGTCAATCACACTTGGCCAATAAAGAATTCTATTCTACTCTACTCTACTCTACTCTACTCTACTCTACTCTACTCTACTCTACTCTACT